TAAAGAGAGGTAAAAACTCTGTAACTTAAACAATGTAAAATTTATTTTTATATTTTTATATATTTATATATTTATATTTATATTTCATGTAACATTTCAGAGGTAGGAGATCGTCAGCCGAGAAGACAGTTCTACCATTCTCAGTGTGTAGTTTCCATCTGTGTCTAAGGTGGCTGTTTTAGCTTTTAGCATTTCATTTTCATCCCTAGCAGCAGGAAGGGGAGGACAAAGGGCTGATACCTTGCTTACTTTGTTTTGCTTTTTAAACATTTTAACAACAGCCATGTAATTTGGGTAGAACTAAGCCCACCTTCCAGCTTCAAGTATCATTTGTATTCATCTTCCTCTCAGCCCTTTCATGATCTGTTTGGAACATAAGGCACATATGGGAAGATGTAGCAATTATAAAGTGCTCAGCTCAATTAACTAGCACAAGGTGAATTTGGTGGTGTAATTGTCACCCACCTCAAGAAATATAACTTTACCAGCTCTTCAGAAGCCCCTCTTGCCACTGTAATACTATGCTACTCCTTCCCATAGGAAACCATTAAAACAATTGGTTTTTCCAGTTTTTAAACTTAATGGAATCATATATTGGCTCTTTTGTCTCTGATTTCTTTCGTTCAGCATTACAGTTGTGATAGCTATCCAGGTTGTTCCATGTAGCAGTGATTTTATTTTTTCTGTACAAATAATCCATTTTATGATACACTACAATGTATATATGTATTTTACTTTTGATAATATTTGGGTTTTCATTTTGGATTGTCATGAACATTCTTCTAGATACCTTTGATGCACATGTTACAAGTATTTCTGTTGAATATATACCTGGAAACGCAGTATGTGAATGGTTAATTTAGCTAATGCCAACAATTTCTCAAAGTGATTGTACTCACTTACGCTCCCCTCAGAAGTGTGGAACATTTGTGTCACTCCACATCTTCCTTCACTCTTGATATTACCAGTCTTTTTTACATGTTAGCCGTTTTGTTGGGTATGTCGCAAGTGTAGTCATTTTATTTCCCTGATGATTGATAGGAGAGCACCTTTTCATACATTCATTGGCTGCTGGGATATCCTCTTCTATGAAGTGCCTATTCAAGGCCTTTACCCATTTTTCTGTTGGTTTGTATTGATTTATGAAGGTTCTTTATGTTATGTCAGCACAAATCTTTTGCCAGTTGTCCATATTGCAGATATCTTCTCCCACTTGCTGTATTGACTTTTCACTCTTACTGGGTTTTTTGGTGAAGAGAAGTTGTTAATATAATTCTATGATTCATTACTTTCCTTTATGATTTATGCTTCTTTGTGTCCTATTTAAGAAATCTTTCCCTACTTTAAAGACTTGAAGATATTTTTTGGTTACTGTCTAGAAACTTTGTTACTGACTTTTTCACATTAAGACCTACAGTCCATCTAGAATTGATTTTTATGTTTAGTATGAGGGTTAAGATTTTTTTCCCATATGGATATGTTTTTGACCTTGCACCATTTATTGAAAAGGCTGTCTTTCCTACTGCTCTATAATGTCACTCTTGCCGTAAATCAAATATTCAGATAGGTATATCTGTTTCTGCACTCTATTTCATTCATTTTTCTGTCTTTACACCAGTACCATTAAGTAAAATTGTCATAGTTACTGTAGTTACTATAGCTTTTGTTTTCTTAAATAATTTGATTGTAGAGATTGGGTCTTACTATGTTGCCCAGGCTGGTCACTCCTGGCCTCAAGTGATCCTCCTGTGTCAACCTCCCAGAGTGCTAGGCATGAATCACATACCCAGCAACTGTAGATTTTTGATCCATATTAATATCTGGGAGAGTAATTTCTCCTACTTTTTCTTCTTTAGGATTGCCTCAACTCTTCTTGGTCTTTTACAAATCCATATACATTTTAGATTTGTTAGTTCTCTGTTACCTTCACATATATTTGTTTATATTTTTTTCTTTCTTTTTAAAAACAAGCACAATCCAGAATTCGCACTTACTACTTCCACTCACATCCTAGTGGCCAGCATAATTATGTGACTATGTCTAGCTATAAGGGAAGCTTGAGAAATAAGTCTTTAGCTTGTGGACTATTTGCCCAGCTAGAGCTGTCATTGTGGCAAAAGAGAGAGCAGATACTGAAAGATAATTAGTTTTCTGCCACACCATTTGAGGTCCTTTTAAACTGGATGCAGTCTCACAGTTTTTATTCTTCCCCTCCCACCTCCACTGTGGCTCACTTTATACATTGAACTTTCTCTGGCTTTCCCCAATCACATCCTCCTACAGCATGAAGCATAGGTTCTGCAGATGGTTCTTTCTGGGAACTACCCAATGTAGTAAATGTCTGGGAACTACCCAACCCAAAGGGGCAATGAATTGAGTATATTTATATGTGTGAGTCTAACTAGTTCTTTCATACAAGGGCTCTGACTATTCCTGTAGCAAGTGTTTTTGCAGTATATAATTGAATCACTGATATAGAACATGCAAAAATACATCTGACGTTTTAACTTTGTTAGTGGTAGATTTTCCCTATTTTCTTACTTCAAAATAACCTGCAATTTTGTAAGTTTATTGCAATGCAAATATGGGCACAAAATAGGAAATACTTTTCTAGGCAGGAAATAGGAAAAGAAAAACAATGGAAAAAATTAGAGTTGCAGAGCATAATGTCCTCAAGTTTCATCCATGTTGTAACATATATCAAAATTTCCTTCCCCTTTAAGGCTGAATAATATTCCGTTCACATGTATGTGATACATACATAGAAGATGTATATGTGTATATCACATTTTGTTTATCTCTTCATCCATTAGTTGACACTTGGGTTGCTTCCACGTGCTAGCTATTTTGAATAGTGCTGTTATGAACTTGAGTGTACTTATAAATCCTAGAGATCTTACTTTCAGTTATTTTGGATGTATACCCAGAAGTAGAATTGCAGGATTATGATTGAGTTTGTTTGCTTTTTTCCTATTGATGTGAAAGTTAGAGATCTAACTGAAGTTAAAAAATAACAAATCTTTTTTTTTTTTTTCTTTTTTTTTTCCTCGCTCCTTCGCCCAGGCTGGAGTGCAGTGGCGCGATCTCGGCTCACTGCAAGCTCCGCCCCCGGGATTCATGCCATTCTCCTGCCTCAGCCTCCCAAGTAGCTGGGACTGCAGGCGCCCACCATGCCTGGCTTATTTTTTTGTATTTTTAGTATAGATGGGGTTTCACCATGTGTTAGCCAGGATGGTCTTGGTCTCCCAAAGTGCTGGGATTACAGGTGTGAGCCACTGTGCCTGGGCCCCAAAAAATCTTTTTAAAAGCAGAATTACAATGAATGAAATGATTTTTAAAAACTTTGTGGCTTTTTGGATTAATTCACTCTATTTTTTTTTTAAGGACTTGAGTTGTTTTTATTTGCTGTTTCCTGTTTATATTTTTGTGAATTGGTAGCATATTGTCAAGAGTTTCAAATTCATTTATCATTCTGTTACATGGGGGAAATTGTAAGTAATCTTTCAGGAATTAAAAATTTACTTCAATAGTAAAGTTGATTTTGAAATTTAAGCAAGAATTTTGCAGGTATTCTGTTTTGAAATACTGCTAGACTGTTTATGTAGAAATAAATGTCAGAGCAGAGGAAGCTTACTCGATTAGAAGTAGACTGATTCTGGGTTTTAGTTCTATCTCTAGGTCACTTCAACTTTCTAAGATTCAGTGTTCTCCTCCATAGGTAGTTATTTATCTACCTACCTCAGAGTGTGAGAACCAAACAAGATAATGTTTCTGAGAGTCCTTTAAGAATATTAATTCCTCTGTTATTTTGAAGCATTAGTAAACAAATTTGGTGATACTATGATTTTGAAGGATAGCAGGTAATAACCTTCTTTAATACCATAACCAATTAGAATGGTAGTTTACCTCAAAGCAATATACACCAGTCTCTTTGTAGTATCTTTGAAAAGTATTTTAATTCAACTGAAAGAGAGAAAAATGATGATGTTAAGGTACTTAACTTGGCTCATGGTAATACTAAACTGAACTGATGGCATGGAATCATTGGTCTTTATATATGCCCCTGGGGGAAAATGTTTAAAAACAGAAAGTTTTACATTTCCCCTCAAAATTGAAAAAAAGTACATTATGTCTTACAAATACTCCTCTTTGAGTTTACGTTCCTTGAAAGCAGCAACCTGTTATATTCCGTCTAGTGCCTAGCACTTAAGCACAGTAAATGCTTAGTAAATATTAGTTCAGTTGAACTGAATATTTATACTCATTCATAATTATAAGTAAAAAGAGAGTCTGTTTGTCATGAAATAACATTCCTTCCCTCTTTTGCTGCCACTGTATCATCCTAAGTGCCTATGCACAACTGTCCTCTGACATAGCTACTACCTTGTACCTAATCTAAAAATTTAATTTTGCTATGGTTTCTGCAGACTTTCCAATCGAAATCTGAACTAAGTGTTAAAAATACTACAGTGGAGAATGAAAATTCTTATTTAAGGTTATGATAAAATACATTTGTGGTTGGGCACAGTGGCTCACACTTGTAAGCCTAGCACTTTGGGAGGCCGAGGATTGCTTGAGGCCAGGGATATTTGAGACCACCCTGGGCATTGTAGCAATACTCTGTCTCTACAAAAAAATTTCGAAAAAGATTAGCCAGGTGTGGTAGTGCACACCTGTAGTCCTAGCTACTTGGGAGGCTGAGGTAGGGGGTTCACTTGAGACTAGGAGTTTGAGGTTTCAGTAAGCTCTGAGTGTGCCACTGCACTCCAGCCTGGGTGACAGAGCAAGACCATGTCTCAAAACAAACAATAGCTAGATACAGTTGTATTATCTGAGCATGTTTAAGTAATATTTCACTGTAAAAAGATATTTGGTACATCATAGAAATTTTCTTCAAATGTGAATTTTATAGCTTTTTCATCCTTTTTATTGATAGATCACCTATGGAGAATACTATGTTTACAACTTTCCTGGACTAAATCTTATTTTATCATTTTCAGGGTTAGTGAAGATATGAAATTAACTGACTCAGAGCTAGGAAAGCTGGCAAATAATATCCAGGAATTATTATATAGTGCCTCAGATATATGCCATGATCGAGCTGTCAAATTTCTCATGTCAAGAGCAAAGGTAGTTATTTTCATAAAGCTTTATATATTTTATATTTTATACATAATAATTTTGAAGATCTGGAATTATGTCTTTGCTTCCTATGTTCCCCATAATGTATATTATATTTTTAACATTTAATGTAATGTAATGACCTAGTCAGTGTTACCACTGATGTGGTCTGCTAGGGAGATGTTGAGATATAAAATAATCTAAATAAAAGAAATAGGAATTATTAAAGCAGTATTTTCAGATAAATGATTAAATGACTTATTTTGAAATATATGTTAATAACTAATTTGAAATTAATGTTGTTTTACATATATATGTATATGTATATATGTATACCTAAATATATGTAGTTAAACAAGTTTATAATAAAACTCCAACACTGTGAAAATTTTATAGTATGATCTGAATTCATTTGAACTACTATATTAGTTATAAAGGGATCAGAATCAAATTTGGACCTCTTAAGCATTTCATGCTCAATTTCTGGGTCTAAAGTATTGGGAAATATTATTAAAATAAAAATATAATTATTGTTAAGCCTTAGTCAATTTGGTGTTACACTAACTCTCATGATTTTTGTATTAAAATTTAGGATGGTTTTCTTGAGAAGCTAAATTCCATGGAATTCATAACACTTTCTAGATTAATGGAAACATTCATTTTAGACACCGAACAGATCTGTGGAAGAAAAAGCATGTCGTTACTTGGAGCACTTCAGAGCCAAGCTAATAAGTTTGTAAATAGGTTTCATGAAGAGAGAAAAACCAAGCTCAGGTATCATCACCATGTCTGTTCTGTTCTTTGTTTTTTTTCATTTTTGTGAAACACAGTTATATTTAAAAGAGTAAACTTAATTGGCCAGTGAAAATGCCTGATAAAGGTTTTTTTAATTAAAGGCAGATTGTGGAATTAAAATCACATTTCTTGGCTTTTCAAAGCTGAGTTAGAATGCTTACTTCTATTAAAATACTTATCAGGAAGATCCTCAGTAAGCTGACTTTTTTTGCCACTCAAAGTTAAGTAAATTGTTTCATCATTCTTTTTGTTTAGGATGAGATATAAAAAGAGAACTATTTTCTAAGTATTGGTCCTGCTTATGAATGATTCCAGTTTATTAAAGTGTTCAGCACTTTTTAAGTCTTATGTTCTCATTCAGCTCTTCTTCCTTTTCTTTTAAACCAAGGAAGATGGTATTGAAATGTTAAAGTTTACCTTCTTTTCTCTTTACTGTGGACTAGCCTCCTCTTAGACAATGAGCGCTGGAAGCAAGCAGATGTTCCTGCAGAATTTCAGGATCTTGTTGATTCTATATCAGATGGGAAGATTGCTTTACCTGAAAAAAAATCAGGAAGTATGTGTATTCCTTCACACATTCTCTTTTAATTTTATATTGCTTATTCATTTTGTATTAATGCTTAATATTTCTTTAATTGACAGTGCCTATTTCAAAGCTAGAACCAATATTTCCAGCTTAGTAAATACTTGACAGGAAATCTGTGGTAATTTATAATAATGATTTCAAATATTTATTGTGTGTTATAACCATATGCCAGACACTGGACCATGTTCTTTACATGCATTACTCCAGTTCATTCTCACAACGATCTGTGATACAGATACTATTGTTACTTTGTGTAACAGTGAGGAACCTTGAGGCTCAGAAGGGTTAAGGAATTTTTATACAAATGATGAGTTGGGATTTGAAACCAGCTTTATGTAATTTCATAGCTATGTTCTTAGCTACTATACCATATTGTTCGCATACATATATTGAGTAAGCACTAGTTAGCTTCTACTTTGTGTCCTATATTGAGACAGAGTTGAGACAGAGATAACAGCTATAATTCTGCTTTAAAGAGGCTAAGTCTAATGAACAAAACCAAAAAATATATAAGCAATCCTAAGTAATGTAGTTACACGATAGCAAAAGTCCAAACGTAAAGAAGGAAAACCATGAAGGGGACAAAAAAGGAAGAACCACAGAGGTAGGGAGAAATCTAGAACATAGAAGTAAAATGATGAGAGAGTTGTCACTGGTATTGAATACCAGTTGAGTTTTCATGTGGAAGAGATGGCTGGGAAATACTTTTGTACACTAGTTCAGGTGGAGTCATCGTGTGATAATAATGTAAATTTATTTACAATAATCCTATAAGATTTACAATTATGAAATTCTTGAGTATTTCTAATAGAGGAAGTAGTTGCACTATTTCAAATTTTATGCATTTAATCAAAGTTTTACATTTCTACACAGAAATATTTTTAAATTGTATACTTCACAGTCGCACAAAATGCAACTAGACTACAAGAGAAAGACTTGAGTAAAATACAAACAGTAACCATTAGTTTGATACATAGATCATTTGCAATCTCAGTAATTCAGTGAAGTGATAGTCAAATTGCAGTTCAGTGCTTAGTAACTGGAAAAGTGAGGAAGGGTAGACAAGTATAGACTACTTTTTCAACAGATTTGGTTGTGAAGGAAAAGTGAGTGATGAAATAGTAGCTAAAGAAGTTAGAGAGGGAGGGTGATTTATGGGGCAAGGTGCATGGAGTCGAATCCAGAGTTTAAGAGAAAGGCTACTACTTCTGCCCCTGTGACAAGGGGAGGAGGGTTAAGGACAAGTATAAAACAGATTAGTTGATATAGGGCAGAGAGAAGAATTGAAGAAATTAGGTAAATTTTTGTCATATGACAGTTTTTAATAGGTAATAGCGTTGGGTGGTAGAGTTTTCTAACTGTATGATACTGGCACAACTAAAGCATTCAACTAGCAAGAGCTGATGGAAAAATAAAACACTCTGACCATTCTGAATCACTAGTTTAAAATTGTAAGACTTATCACTCATCTAGTCTTTCAATCTGTATTTAATTGACTTCTCTCTATGTGAGGTGGTGTGCTAGATGACTAGGATATATTTTCTGTCCCTGAACAGCTCATGGTCTTTTGATTCCACTGTTAAGCAAACAGAGTGATTTCTGAATTAAAATCGTAAATGTGGAATAATTGAATTAATCGTGTATTTTGTTTGAAACATGAACTATTTATTTTCACTTCTTTGGAGGATATTGATGGTAGGACGTTTCTCTTACATACCTTTCTTCTCAGTCTTTTTTTTCCTCTCTGAATAGCATAGATGTATGCTATTAGAAGTCCATTAACATTTTACTAGTTCTTTTCAAGTTAAGGATCCTGGATTATTATCTATTTATCCATGGTATATTAATTGGGTTACTAGCCACTCAGCTAGGCATTGGAGAAATGAAGGTTAATGGATAGCAGCTAATATTATTTGAGTATTTACTTACACTGTTTTGTTCTAAGTATTTTACAGGTGTTATCTCATTTACAGGTCCGTGAGCTAGACATTATTAGTATTCCTATTTTACAAATTTAGAAACTAAGGCATAAAGAGGTTAAGCAAGTTGCCTAAGTTTACATAGCTAGGAAGTGGTAGAGCTGGGATTCCAGTCCGGGCAGACTGACTTTAGGGCCATTTCTCTTTTCTACTATGCTATGCCACTTCTCTGTAATATAGAGAAGTGATGAAGACACAGTCCTTACCCTCAAAAAATATACATCTGACATATGTAGTAAATTGTGATTGGAATATATATAGCTCTCAAATATTCAAATGTTTATACAAATCCCATAGGGCCTTGAAGCTTAGGGAAGCATAATGAGTTGCCTATGGTGATCTAATCAATTTGGCTTATCCAGGATACAATCAAGTCCACTGTTCTTTTCACCTCAATATGCTGAATTTTGTTTAAAGAAATATCACATGCTGAAAATAACTTCTGGGTTGAAGTATTAAAAATTAAATACATATCTTTCCATCAAATTTAGAAATTAACTTGTATTCAATAATGATAATAGTAAAGACAACCAATTTAAATGCTAGTTCTGCCTTTCCAAACCTAGTAACTTTTAAAAAAACTATTTGCTGATCATTTACCTTGTGCCAGTCCTAAGGGATAGGCAATTCATAATAATTATTTCTACCATTAACAACAACCCTGAATGATACTGTTGTCCACATTTAATAGATTCAGGTAGTGATACTCAAAAGAGGTTAAATAATTGCCCCGAAGTCATGTATCCAGTAATTGGTAGTACTGGTACTCAAATCCAAATCTCTCCAACTTCCAGTATACTTTATTTACTATGTGTCAGATAGTTTCCCAGGAAGTAGATGTTTATTTTCAGAAATGAGATAGTTTTAGGCCTTAAACAGGAACTATCTTCTTCAGCATTTTCTCCATTATTTTGTTTCATCTGGTACTCTTGTCTCTCTTGTTTATTTGCTCTACTCTCTAGCCACAGAAGAAAGGAAACCAGCTGAAGTTCTTATTGTTGAGGGACAACAGTATGCAGTTGTTGGGTGAGTGACACATTTTTCTTTAGTTGTTGAGTCAACTATTTAAAACACAAGTCTTCTAGTTCTCCCTTGAAGTGAATTGGAAATTTTGGATTCACAATTTTAACAATGTTAAATTTCAATTAACAATTTTAAATCCTACGAAGAACTTAAAGGAAACTTTATGGATTTCTTTATCTTCTCTATTCTGTAGCATACATTATTAAGGACTACACTGGCTTGACACAAAAGGCTTGATTTTTCTCATATAACAAGAAATCTAGACAACCCAAGAGTAATTGTAGTGGATCCCTGATATTATTACTATCCCAGGCTCTTTCTATCTTTTCTTCCATTGCTTTCTTAGAGTGTACCATAGCATAGTAGTTTAAGTTGTGGACTCTGGAATCCACACAATGTGGAAAATAGTACTATACACAGAATTATTGTGAAAATTAAGTAATTCGTGTAAAGCATTTAGCACAGGTCTAGCACCTAGTAAGTTGATAGTTGTTGGTAGTTATTTTCATTGGCATCATTTGATTCACTAGATCTTTTACCAATAAAAGTATCTCAAATTCAAGTTAACTAAGAAGCATACAAATTCCATCATTTTTTGTTGAGTACTATGTCTTTTATTAAATTGGTAATTAAAGTATATCTTAATATTCTTTAACAGTACTTCACAGCTTAAGTGTTTTCATATATATGTGATCTCATTTGATCTTTACAACTACATTGTAAAATAAAGATATTGGGGGTTATTATTTCCTTTCTACACTATGAGAAGAAGCTGAGAAGATTAAGTGGTTCAGGTGACCCAAATGGAGTCAGAATTAGAATCTAGGTCTAACTCCCAGTATCTACACCAACATTCTTTTTCACTTTTCTTCTTTAGTTCTTGTCACTGTGTAAGCGTTTTTTGAAATGGCCACCCCCTCCAGGAAGAATGTAATTCTATATCCCTCAATTATGGCACTTACCATAGTATAATTGAATTATTTATTTATGTATATGTTTTCTAATTTGGCTCTGAATTCCTCAGAGATGGAGATCAGGTCTTACCATTTTTATTTTTCTTGGCACGATAATAAGCACTCAAAAAGTATTTATAGAATTAATCCTGTTTCTGAATCTGTATTCAGATACCTGAAGTCCACACATTCTAAACTAAAGCCTCCATTCATTTCTCTTCTAGAGTCCTTCCCTATTTCTGGTAGAGAAAACTTTCTTCAGTCCTCCTGTAATCCCATCCCTTCAATCTAATTATGATTTCCCTCCTTAACTACTGGTTATCTGGTTGCTCTTCACTTGCTTGATGAAAATGGTCCCCTCTGGCCATCTTGCTTTTGGTTTTTTAGGCAAAGAGTCGGTTGACAAAAAACTGAAATCCCTGGCTAAAGGAGAACTATTATAATATCTGAGAGACAATTACAAAAGATAAGCAAGGGACTCATGCTCAGTGAGGCAGACTCTACGAGAAATAAGCATAGAGACCAGTATGCATATGTGGTCTGACAAGCTGTAATAAAGGCTACACACCATCTTTCTAGAATCATTAGTTCCTGATATCCTTCAGGCTTTTATAAATCCTTATTTTACATAGATCTCATTTCTGAGCATCTCATAGAACTTAGATATCCTATGATGAATGGCTTTCTCCTTAATTTCAATCTTATTTAACCTCCCAGTAGTGTGTCTCTTCAATGTGTGATTTGTCCTAATATGGAAGTGATAACTTTAACTTTATCATCTTTGGAGAACTTCTTTTTTTTTTTTTTTTGAGACGGAGCTTCGCTCTTGTTGCCCAGGCTGGAGTGCCATGGCGTGATCTCAGCTCGCTGCAACCTCTGCTCCCAGGTTCAAGTGATTTTCCTGCTTCAGCCTTCTGAGTAGCTGGGATTACAGATGTGCGGCACCACGCCAGGCTAATTTGGAATTTTTAATAGAGACGGGGTTTCTCATTGTCAGGCTGGTCTCGGACTCCCGACCTCCAGTGATCCGTCCACCTCGGCCTCCCAAAGTGCTGGGATTACAGGTGTGAGCCACCGCACCCGGCCAGAGAACCTTTTGTGACCCACCAATAAAATTCTTAGGAGATATGTTTTCCTTAGAAGCATTATAGTTTTTTTTTTTTTCATCTCACTAAGAAAATCTGGATTCGGTTTTCTTCATCAATTCATTAGTTATGATGGGGGACCTACTATGTTGGTAATCAGAAACACTGAATAGGCTTTTTGTCAATGTTTCTGAATTGGCTAAAGGTTGCAATACCTGTCTTATTGAAGCGACTCCCTTAATAAGAATGCCATACAGAGAGTGTTATGCCTGTTGTGCAGAATTTAAGGAGCCACTCATTCTCAGTGTTGTGCAAGCTGATCCTGCAATTGCACAGAGTAAGTGCCTCTTTAAATTTTGCATTCTAGACACCTCTCTTGTCTTGTGTTAGTCAAGAACCTGCCGTACTACTAGGTAAAATACATACTTTAACAGTTACCAAGATCATTATATTCTCAGAGATCCTTTGTGCCATTAAGTAATTTGATTTTTATATGCCAAATCTTTTTTATTTTTCTTGTTTTGATTTCCTGTTGGGCCATTTTTCTTTTCTTGTAGAACCGTATTGCTGTTAATAAGAATTATCCTTGAATATTGCCAGTGTGTGGATAACATCCCATCTGTTACTACTGACATGCTTACTCGTCTGTCAGATTTATTGAAGGTGTGTATGACTTCATTATGGAAAAATTGTTTGAAGAATTAATACATTAGGGTGTGACTAATCTTTTAACTCAAAGACATTTGAAGGTCAAGTTATCTTTAAGACGTTAGTTTTTTAACATTTGATTGTGGTTGAATCACAACATGTTGTTGGAAACAGGCTGCTTGCTTCCTTCTTACTCCACAGTTAGTGATCCTCATTCACCCATAGAGTTGTTAATGACATTGGAGACAGGAGATGATTTGTTTGTTAGGTGCTGAATATGACTGAGGCCACTTAGGTCAAAAAACCTGGACTGGCTTCAAATGTGCATGGAAGGAATTCACTGAACTTTACAAAATTCACCTCACTAAGGTTAGAGATTTTTCTTGCATCATTCTTTCAGAACCATTGATATAAAATGAAAATGTGATGATTTTATTCAGCCATTTCATATTGAAATATTTTAAACTACCAGTACAGAGGAAAGGCTTTATTATTTTTTTCAAGCCTCTAATCTATTAATTCTGTTCTGACTTGAGTTGTCATGTTTTAGCGGAGAAAGATTTTTATAACTTTTGAAAATAGAACTTCCCAACAAGAATGACTGAAACCGAATTTGTTTTGTAAATGCAAATTGAAGATTAATTTCTGTGAACTGATTTTTAGAATTTTTCAACTGTTTCTTATGAGTAAATATTATCATTTAGAATCTCCCCTTCTCATTTCTTTTTCATTAAATAAATAGATACTAATTGCTTCTACTAGATAATTCATTTGGCCATTGAATGAGAGGAAAGGGGGATGTATTTTTATAACAGCACATTGCCAGGATATAAAGAACAGTTTTTAATAAATTTGGGGTTTTTTTCTCCTTCTTTTGTTAGTACTTCAATTCAAGAAGTTGCCAGTTAGTTCTTGGAGCTGGTGCACTGCAAGTTGTTGGACTAAAAACGATAACTACAAAAAATTTGGGTATGGATTCTTGCATTTAATTCATTTGCTGAAGTGTTGACAGTGATGTCACTGTACTCATCATGTTTTTTTATACCTGATGTTTTCATGGCTGTAACCAAAGTGGCATTACTCTAAAAATAAATGCTACTTACTCTTTCATGTATACTCATCACTGAAAACACTGACCGTGGGGAAAAGGTTATGATGCATTTCTCCTCCAAGTGTAAGTTACTTGGAAGTTACACCACTCTGTTACCCCACTCTAGAAAATATTAAGATGTAATGTGTATAAAGTATTTGGGGGTGAAAGGTATCTGAATGTCAGAAGAGAATCAGTTGTCTTGTTATTGTGATACTGATAATACAACTTGAGTCCTTTGTGAAAGCAGCATGTTCGTTACATTATTCAGTATCAAATTATTAAAATGAAATATGTTGCCTTCTGCCATAGTGCTCTTCATTTATGAAATAAACTGGATCTTTATAAGTAATGTTTTTTATTTGATTTGATTTGTAATTAAAATCAACTAACGTATTTTTTTAAAATCTCTCCATTATATATCCACTCCCTGGACCTTCAGCTCTTTCTTCACGATGTTTGCAGTTAATTGTGCACTACATTCCTGTGATCCGGGCTCATTTTGAAGCTCGACTACCACCTAAGCAATATAGCATGCTTAGGCATTTTGATCATATCACTAAGGTACTTTTTCATATATTTTTTATTGGAGTTTCATAAGTTTAGATCCTTAATTGTTAAGTATTTTTTAAATGTGTCCCAGGGACTTAAAAATACAATATCATTTCTCATTGCAGGACTACCATGATCACATAGCTGAAATATCAGCTAAGCTTGTAGCGATAATGGATAGCTTATTTGACAAGCTGTTATCTAAGGTAATGATTTATAGAAATTATTAGACTTTGTTCAAAGGCATTATGATTATCTATTTTATAAGGAGTACTTTATAAATTAAGATGTGAAAAAATAATCTAAACTTTCATAGGATATTTACTAATTAGTAGAATTTTAAATTTTTTTTCAGGAAAATGTGACAATGTGCTGTGGCCAAGACCACCCATAGTGGTCTAACCTGCAGTTATCTAACAAATTATTCAGGGTTTAGAAAACAACTCAAAAAAATTTTCAGATTTCCAAAACAGTTGATATTCTTATTCTAAGGGGCTGGCGAGAGTAGGAGAGATGATTCTAAGGATGGTAGAAACCCTAAACAGAAGTATTTTTATGTTAATTCATTTCAATATTCATTTCTTGTTTGTTTTTCATTCCCAATATGTCATTAAATGAAGCAGTGTTCCCCAAAGAATTCGCAATTATACTGGGAGAGTATCTTCAGAAAAATGTCATTTAGTCAGCCCCAGTCACTCTTGATCTGTCTTTCACTCTTTCCTTTCCCTAAGTTTTTCAATTCATGTCTTAGGGGGAAAGCCAAAATTTCATTACTTGAAAGTCTGAAAGTTTACTCACTGTATACTTTCTGTCCAAGATCGTATTTGGAGTAACCTTTTTAGCAAGGAACTTTGATTTGCTTTTTATCCTACTTACATCCTTCAGATTCCGAAATGACAGAACAGCAGGTACATAAGAATCAAAAGGGCAAGATAAAGTGGTGCCCGTTCACTCACACAAGACTACGCAAACACATACTCTATTAGCCTTCAGAAGAATTATATCACAAGTCATCTAAAAATCCCCACTGTTCAATCATGAGAGAATAAGAGTAAAATAGATAAATAACATCTTATTAATAATATTATTATGAAAGTGACTTTTACTTCCCAGATTCCTTGAAAGGGTCTCTGACTCCCAGGAATCCCCAGACTACACTACACCTCTGTTGTAATTGATAATACAGATGTTTTATGCTTCACTTTTAAGAAGCTTAAGGAATTCGTCGTTATGTACAAACATACCTATACTATGTTATGCCTATTACATTAGTTTCTAGTCGTGAAGGGAGAAAAATTGCTGTTTAGAGATGCTTTATTTTCTTCATGGGTGCTAAGTACAAGCTACATTCAAAAGCAATTCTACCAGTTTCCTTTTTGATATATAGCATTCTTCTGTGTACCAAAAGTCAGTAACATACTGTGTCAGTTCTCAAGAAGCTTACCATCTAACAAGGTAGAATACTGTAAACAGCTAGCAGTGGAAAATAAAACATATGTTAAATAGTGGAACTAGGCTGGGAATAGTGGAACTAGGCTTGAGTCCAGGAGTTCCAGCCTGCAGTGAGCTGTGATCATCCCACTGCACTCCAGTCTAGGTGACAGAGCAAGACCCTGTCTCTAAAACAAACAAAAAAATTAGTGGAACTATTAATAGGCTGTGGAATGTAATGAAGAAAAACCAAAAATGTGCTAGTACTCTTAAAACTCTGACTTTAGTCTGTCACTTTGGTCATCCACAGAGTTTTTGAATAAGAATTGTCACAGTGACTAGACTTTTTCCTCTGGCAACTTAGTCTTTTTTCTGTAAAGAAAAGAGAATTGTTTAATGAACTTCCCATGTATGCATCACCTATATTTGTTATTAACAATTTGCCTTTTTTGAGAAAATATTTTATAATAAATTCAGGCATTATGGTATTTTGTCCCTAAATACCTAAGTATGCATTTTTAAAAACTAAGAACATTTTTACATAACCACACTATTATCACACCTAACAAAATTGACAATTCCTCAAAATCATCTAATATTTATTTTCCTATTTGAAACTTATTAATTGTCCCAAAAATGTCTTTTTATAATAATTTGTTTGGACAAAGGCTTCTGCACGGTTCACAGATCGCATTTGGTGGTTATGTCTCTTAAGTCTCTTAAGTCATTTAAAAATATATATATCATTGACCTGTTGAAGAATATGGACAGGCTTTTATAACATAATGTTCTCTCTAGTATCTTCTCCATTGATGGTTTTTCCTATTACTCTGGCATATTACATTCTTCCTGTGTTAACAAGTCTCTCTTTGCCAGTCCGTGTTCTGTTTGCTTTCGTATGTTGCTTAGGAGTTTGACCCTGTTTTTAATTAATATCAAAATAGCAGACAGTGTTTGGTTTGGGTTTGCCTTTCAGTTTTTAACCTTTCATGTTCATATCTGAAAATATAATTTTGGGGAAGAAGGATGACACAGTAACATATGGGTTGATTCTAAGAAGCTAATAAGTGGCCATGCATGGTGGCTCAAGCCTGTAATCCCAACACTTTGGGAGACTGAGGCACGTGGATCACCTGAGGTCAGAAGTTCGAGACCAGCTTGGCCAGTATGGTGAAACCCTGTCTCTACCAAAAATACAAAAAAAATTAGCCAGGCGTGGTGGTGGGCACCTGTAATCCCAGCTACTCGGGAGGCTGAGGCAGGAGAGTTGCTTGAACCCGGGAGCGGAGGTTGCAGTGGGCCGAGATGGCACCATTGCACTCCAGCCTGGGCAACAAGAGCGAAACTCTGTCTCAAAAAAAAAAAAAGCGGCCAGCGTGGTCACTCACGCCTGTAATCCCAGCACTTTGGGAGGCCAAGGTGGGTGGATCATGAGGTCAGGAGTTCAAGACCAGCCTGGTCAAGATGGTGAAACCCCATCTCTACTAAAAATACAAAAATTAGCCGGGCATGGTAGCAGGTGCTTGTAGTCCCAGCTACTCGGAGGCTATGGCAGAGAATTGCTTGAACCCGCGAGGTGGAGTTTGCAGTGAGCCAAGATTGCGCCACTGCACTCCAGCCTGGGTGACAGAGCAAGACTCTGTCTCAAAAAAAAAAAAAAA